CTGTTATGTTCTCATTTCAAACAACAAACAGTTTATTTCAGTAAAAACACAGATTGTTTAATTTTCCACACTTTTATTGGTTTGGTTTATTTGTCCACTGTGTGTGTGGGTGAGGGGGCCTCATCTTCAAAGAACTTCAGAGGGAGTTTTTCCTCTCCACTGTCGCTACAAGCATGCTTAGTGTGAGGGATTGCATTCGAGTCAATGAGTTGATGCAATCAGCTAGTTTTCCTTAGAAAACTTTGAATCAGTTTGACTGAATGATCTGGTGAACTGTAAAGTGCCTTGAGACGACATGTTGTGAATTGACACTAAAGTGAATTGAATTAAAAAGGTAGACAGATTATTTAACTTTATTAACTTTTTTGAGCAGCAGCTAAAATTGAAACCCAGATTTCTAAAAAAAAAAAACGTACTTATAAGCCAAAGTCTAACTTTTTATGAATATGCTACACATAAATACACATTGAGCGACTTCCTTGAAGGGAATTATGTTTAAAATAAATACTTTGTGTCCCATGAATAGAATAGAGAACCCCTTTATTGTCCCACAATGGGGACAATCTGGTGTTTACAGCAGCAAAAAGATTATAAGACTATAAAAATGGCCACACAAGTGTGAACCTTAGAAAACTGTATAAGAACAACATAATAGTGAAGAGTTAAAAAAATAAACAAAAAAATATAGTACTTTAATTTTTTTTTTTAACAATATAAATACTGTAAATACCTGGATAATAAATAACCAACATACAGCTGTGGACTATTTTACATTAATGCATATCTTAAAATAGCAGCAACATCAGAGATGTGCAAAATGACAGCAGCATGTTATTTAACTGACTAAGATAGAAAGTGTGCAAAAATCAGCATGAATGTAACAACTTATTGAGGTTGTTGGGAACAGTGGTTATAAAGTCTTACAGCTGCTGGGAGGAAGGATGTGTGATAACACTCCCTGGTGCATTTAGGGTGCAGCAGTCTGTCACATGAGCAGATATGGTTGGGATGAGCTGGTTGTCCCTCATTAGCTCTTGCCACCGTTGGTTCTACCATCTACAGTTTCTATTTGATATTAATATTTTTACTTAGAATCAGACAGAAAAGATCTACATTGCGAGTATGGGTGGACTATTTATTATAAATACAATTCAGACTAAAACTGTTTTCTGTCTGCGCTGTAGATATGTGATGAGATTTACCAGGTTACTATGATGATAAATGATCGTTCTAGGGGGTTCCCTTCACTATGTCACCCCAAAGATACCAATACTTCATATTTATAAATATAAAGTGAAATAATTGTATTAATTTTTAGTTTAAAAAATAAGAACTGACTTATTTATCTGTTTATATGTATTATTTTTTCAATGAGGTCTTTTGTGATATAATAATATATTTAAAAAGTGAATCATGTAAGCCTATTAGATAAATCTTACATCTAGTTTTTTCAATTCCATTCAGTTTATTTCTATAGCGCCAATTCACAACACATGTCATCTCAAGGCACTTTACAGTTCA